GACACCAACCCTGGCAAAGGGAGGGTGAAACCATGACCCTAGTGAAGTCAGTGTCTGGTCTGCGGAGGACGTGACCGAACCATTGAAGTCTGCGGTGTAGAATGAGCGCTGAGAGTTTCGGAAGCGTAACAGCGCTTACGGATTTCCTCAGTGATGATACGCTTATGTCACTGCATTTTGAAAATGAGCCTTAGACACCAATGGTCGAAGTCTTCCAGGTTCCGGGAGTCTTCGGATCTCAGCGGCCATGTTTCGCAACCATGGAGTAAATTGGCACGAATGGTTGCTGAGAAAACTCGGATATTCGTTCTCAGACAAATTGCTGTCCTTCGCCACAATGTGTTGCTCATTTGTAAGAAGGCTGTTCTAGCGCTGTCAATACGATACCGGATTTCGGATGTTGCCTGACCATTGGGTAGTATAGCGGATCCAAGATACTTGAACTCAGGAACAGTTTCGATGAGGTGCCCATGTAAGGAGAGCGACGGGGCGGACTGGGTGGCTAACAATGAGAAGCACCTCGTCTTGATGATGTTAATTTCAAGACCGTTCACAGGGGCTGATTGGTCGACCCGATTTTCCAGTGACTGTAATGATATAGCATCTTCCGCAAGAATAGCGATATCGTCAGCAAATTCTACATCTGACAGCCAGAAGTCAGGGCTAACTTGATCATCACAATAGCCCTCAATGGCATGATGCATAGCACAGTCGACTTCGAAGTGGAACAGCCCTGGAGAAAGCGAGCAACCATGCCAGACTCCAGTATTGATGTCGAATTCCTTTATTTTTACTCCATAGATCCGAATCCGGGACTTCGTGCAACGGTAGTATGATCTCATCAAGTTAACGAGTTTAACCGACACGCCATCGGCAAGTAGGATTCTTCAGAGTGCTTCGCCGTCAACTGAGTCAAAGACAACTCGACAATCAACGATGCACACAAACATGGGCAGCTGGAACTGCTAGCTGTGTTCGTGTACTCGATGTAGAGTGAAGATTTGGTCAGTGCAGCCTCTGCCTGATCGAAAGCCATCTTGGTTCTGGCGAGTTCGCAGGTTCCTCTCATTGGCAAAGCGAGAAAGCAAGATTCTTTCGAAGGTTTCGGCAGACACATCGATTAGACTAATCCCGCGATAATTATTGCACAGAGTTCGGTCACCTTTCTTTGATAATGGCAGAAGTACTGAGGTACTCCACAAGAAAGGATAGATTTCGGTCTCCCATACAGAGCAGAAGAACTCTTGCAAATATTCATGGAGAGCTGGTAGACAAGGTTTGTAGATTTCCGCTGTAATCCCGTCCGCTCCAAGAGGTTTCTTCGGTTTCAGGCGACGAACGATGTCTGCAATCTCTGTAAGAGATGGCGGTGAGCAATCCGCGTCATATCCTGAATAAGTTAATGCTGAAATGGGTGCACTGGTGTGTTGTGGGCGGCTTAGGAGGTTGCTAGAATAATCTACCCATTAGGAAAGTTTTCCTTCCGTATCGGGGATGATTTGGCCTTCCGAATCGAGCAATATGAACTGAGATGAATAGCGCTTGCCGGAAGCTGAACGGACGAGACGAAAGATATGACCCAAATTGCCTGCGATAGCAGACCAGTAGCGGTTGCGACCATTCCGTGCTGCACGCGTTGCCTCACGTCTCAAGCGACGGCAGTCTGGGAATTTGGTGAGACGTGCTTCTCTCGCTTTAGCGGACAAGCCCACAGTATCTTCAGTGATTCAGTCCTTCACAGGCTTAGAGGTAGGGCCCAGGGTAGATAAGGAAGCGCGTTGAACTGACAATTTTAGCCTAGACCAACGAGCATCTACATATACATCTTCTGCAATTACGAGGCGTGGTGCACTTGCAGTACTTCCTGCTTCTATTGCTGCCTCAAGGGATCGGAAGCAGTCAGTGTTGATACGTTTTGGTGGAAGGGGCTTTCAGCGCGTTGTAAAGCGGAGTCTGAATTTGGCGCGAAGGAGTGCGTGATCCGAACCACTTTTATTGCCCGTTTCAGCCCCTCTGTACGCTCGACAGTCATCGATGGATGGCATCCACCTTGATCGGATTAAGATGTAATCTATCTGGCTTGCTGTACGACCACCGTTAGAGTACTATGTCAGAAGATGCTTCCTGGGATGCTGGAAGGCAGTATTGGTTAAGCACAACCGATTAAGATTGTTGCAGCTGAGCAGGCGCTCTCCCAAGGCGTATCTCCCGAGTATGTGACGGGTCTGATGGTTCCTAGGCCCGGTTCTTGCATTTCAGTCCCCCAGCAATAATGAGAATGCCGCGTTTTAATTCATGGTTCACCTCTATCTGTAGAGTATCGTAAAATTCATCTTTGTCCCGTACCGCTGAGGGCATGGTTGTTGCGTAGACAGAGATTATGGTCAGATTCATCGGGTGACCTTTGAAGCGTGCAACTACTATTCTAGCTGATACTGGCTTCCATGAAAAGGGAGCTTAGTGTGCCTGGCAACTGCTAGCCATGGCGACCCTTTGATTGCCAGAATTATCTTCCGGCTTGCTGTGGTGAAGCCAATATGAGGTGTCTACACCAGGGACTTCGATTTATCGAGAGCCATAGTCGGGTATTCGAGATTCTGATAGGCATCCAATGTTAATCTGGTGGTCATGTAGTGTGCGTAGCGTCAACGCTTGGCTGCCGATATCCAACGGTGTTCTGACATTCCAGGATCCAATGAATAATGGAGAGATCGATGGACCCAGCTAGCGTACTCTCACTCTGGCCACTGCGTTAGCTCAGTGAGTCGCCTACCGGGAACGCCTTAGCATGTGAAGAATCGCAGGTAGCGCACATGTCGTGAAGTTTCGTGGGGATTATGGGTACGTATGAGGACCCCAACCTCATCCGGCTTTTGTTCGAGGGTTCACCTCTATCCTTTGCACAGCCAAGTGCTACCTGCAAGGCAGCAAGAACCTGGGAAATTACCTTAACTTCTGGCCGTTGGATCAACAGTCGAACTCTTCCGCGGGTACAAACTCACCGGAAATAATATTCCCCGCTACCCGCACCTGATTTAGCCCCGCCTGCCTGACGGTTGACCGGGGTGTGGCCGCTGCCGCATGCAAGCAGCCTCTTTGAGCCACAGGTGAGAGTTGGGTGACAAGTGGAGACCAAAGCTAGACGGACTATCCCGGAGGGTAATGCCGGTCCTCTATCAGAGGTGCTAATACTCCCTGGCACCCCGGACACCCGGTTTTATTTAATCCCCGTTACTGAGTATCACTAGGGGGCTATCTGTTTGTTATACCCTTATATTTTTGCACTGCAGAAAAATTGGACTTAGGCTCCTCCGGTGGCTATGATCAACTGTGCTACTAAGCTTCTTTATTCCTTTTCACCGCTATCGCTTATTTCACTTGTTGGTTGGTTGGTAAGACGGCAAAAGTCGGAAGTATTCTTGTATGTTGCAATCAATGATGACACTAATCCTCGATATACACGTTAGCTACAGGTGAAAAACATCTCAGCTTTTGTGTCGCAATACAGACGCAAAGAAAAGAAAACTGAAACGGTGGCACTTTGGCTGAATCAACAGTAACCGATGGACATCATTCCGGAAAGCTAACAGCCGGCTGTGTTGTCGCAAAAAGTCATATCACGCCTAATAATTGAGATCCTGGTTGGAGGGGAGGCAAAATGGAGGGGTATGGACAAAGGAACTCACGACACAAACGTCATTAAGGTCAGCTCCTAGTTAAGTCAACAAGTATATCCAACCAACCGCGTTCATCGTCCTCGATTCTCCAACCTGGGAGCCGAGGGCAACTCCAAAGTAAGGGCCTTCATTCCATTTGACCAAGTCATCGCTTGGCCACCTCGCTTCTTCCATCCGCACCCCCGACTCGCAAACAGCGCACGTCGCGGAATCCGGTGGGCTGGCATGTGCGACACCTAGCCCAGCCATCGGAGCCTGGTTTGCGAAAAAACGGCGCTGAGTGGTTCGCTTCTTTTTCCTGCGCCATAAACAAGGCGTCGAACACGCTCATTGCCCACACGGTGTTCCCACCAGATGTGAGCCAAATTGCAAAGGCACCGGTGGTCGAACGTACCTAGCCTCTTTATGTCCGTTGATCTAAGAGACCAGGTTCCACAACCGTAGAGTCGAAAGTACGGCTGCGTTGTATACTCTACCCTTCAGCGAGAGAGTGATATCGCGCCGGCGCTATCGGTGGAGAAAGTTAGCGAATGCGCCTCGAGTTTTCGCTATACGGTTTGTGACCTCGCCTTCAATTCCAACGACGCAGATACAACTACCTATGTAATTGAGCTTTTGGACGACTTATAGCTGATCCCCACCAAGGTTCAGTGCAAGAGGCGGTCCATGTCAATCTTGGAGCAAAGCTTTGCACTTCGAGGGTGCGAAGCAAAGCCCGTAGTGAGGCTGGTAGCCAGTGGTAATCTGTGCAATGCCGCTTGGCGCGTTTACGAGCTGTCACAGATTAGGGCAATATGGTCAGCATACTCCAAGTCAAATAGTCGGCAGTCAGTCTGTGATACCACTGTTCTCCTCTTTAAGCATTCTTTCACTCTTAACCGATGCGTTTCTAGCAAACTACGTTATTCACAAGTGGAAAGATTCTTCATGCGCTTGCATTATTTTTTTTTACATGGCTACAGTGCGATCCACCTTGTCGACACACTCCTCAACACTATACTTCGTTGCGTTTGTATCCTCAATTTGTAATCTTCCCGTGCTTCATCTCCGCCACGCAGCTGCTCCCAAACTTTATTTGACAAGTGGTTTATTCCCACGTGTACTTTCTCACTTCCGTGAAGTGGAATGCCGGCAAACTACCAAGTGTCTTTCTTTTACAACGCGTCGCTTTTGCATCGACGCTCATTAACTTTTCAGTTCCACGCTTTGCGGACACAGTTTAGCTTTCATACTGTGCTATACGCATTTCGGATTACTTGCCATTTTCTCTGTCTAATCCTCTAATCTCACTCGACCAAAAATTCTCCACTTTCTCTTTTGCAGTACGCAGTTTGCTGGGCTAGTCAATCTCTTTCCTCGCACTATCCTGATACGTTGGCATCACATGATGATCGAAATTCGGATCATTCAGCGTCTCGATGTGATAGCTCGCCTCTGCCTAACACATCTCCAACTTCACACTCCCACTCCTCCTTACGTGTGTTTCTCTTCAACCCCATCATGCTGTCCACTTCACTCTCGGAGATGGCCTCTCCATATGCGGCCGACCACTTTCATACGAAAACCGCGTACACCGATGAATCCCGTCACGAGAACTTTGTAGATTTGGCCCACTCTCCACGCACCTATCATTTACTGCACAACTTGCATTTTGTCGGTGTGCATCCTCGGTAAGTTTTTTTTGCCTTTTGGGGTTGATGACAGTGCCGTCTTTGTCGGCATTGCGTGTGTCTACTATACGGCCGGTTTTACTGTCTGATCTCTGGTTTGTTCGTAGCTAGTGAAGCTTTGGCTTATTTCTTCCTGAAATTGCCTCCATTCCTTAGCCGTTTGAAAACTCGATAACTTTCTCGCCAAACTTGCTGAGGTCTTGTACTGTGTGGCTTCGTGACTCTCATCAGACAGCCTCACCGCACCATTAGGGTCAAGCTCTGTGTAATCTTAACTCGTGTCCCCTTACGTCTGTCGTCTGGACTAAGAGCAAGAGATACTTGGAGGATGATGGCCGAGATACATACGCTCCCATCACACACATCGGTTGTGTGAGTTGCAAGTCCACGCGGCTTGTTTGACAGATGTGTTGCATAAGGATGATAAATCCATGCCGCATCGGGACGGCCGTCCAAAGTACAAAATCTACCACCATCGCTCACCTAATTTCTCGTGCATTGTCACCAAAACACTATATACCTATGTGCTCATTCCGATAGATTTTGAAACCATTCTCCTGAAATAGTGTCAGGATTTTTTTGACTTCTCTCGGTGCGCACCAAACGAGTAAAACAAGCGCCAGGAATCGCGATGTGCCTGTTTATTTTCAGTGCAGAACCACTGCAGTCTCGCTTGTTTTTATGATGCAAGTTCCGTCACTAGTGTTCTTTTTTATACTTCCTCTCTTCTCCGGTGAGCATTTTTCCTCCTAATTTGGCCGTCGAGAAACTCTGTGGCTTAGCGCTTCAGGTATTCAGCTTGCCACATCTACTTCCTCGGTTCGAATATCTGCCCCAACATTATACTTGCTTGCGTACAATCTTATGTAGTTACATGGCAACGGAGTATCATTACTCACCGCCGCTTCGCTGCCATTGTTGAGGGGTTCTTCCGTCTGGCTTGTGATCGACAAGTCGGCAGTTGGATTTTTGGGTGACCTATCTGTACCCTAGTTCACATGCGACTGGTGATGGTCGTATTGGCAGCGAAACACCAGTAAAACATGCCGGAGTACTGCTGCCGCTGCTGCTACTACTACTGAGACTGCGACTGCCTTTTTCTTTTACTTCGCTTTCAGTGAACCTGAATTAATTAAGTAAATAAATTTTTTATTCTTGGACAACGCATAATACGCCTGTATATGCATGATCGTGGTAATGATACAGTCAAAAGTCGAGGAACGTATAAAATAAGGTACAGATTTGCCATAAACGTTAGAGCTGTGAGTTCATACATACTTGTAGGAGTGCGTGTGTGTAGCTGTTATTCAAGTTTGATTATGTGCTGCTGCACTTGTGTTTGATCCCGTGGGTAGTATGAGAAGGGATGAGTGACGTCCGTGTTGGCGGTGTGACTGATTGACTGAGCATGGGGCCGTGATTTTAATTGGAGGCGAGTCACATCCGCTTCATTCCAACGCTATTAAATCGACCTTAGTGGCTTGCGAAACTACAGCGACGCCAAAACTTATGAAGGCAGTTTAGGGGACTCGATCTCGAGGCTAGGTGGTGTTGCATAGACCTACGAAAAACGAGAACTCAGAATGCACTCTGTGCCAAATCTTTGTGGTACAAACCGACGCGCCATTTATTTGGTAAACTACTTGCGTTGTAAATCTGTTGCGTTGACCCAAACGCGACGCGTCAGCATGTAGTTTTCGCTGTTCTACTCACAGCCTGATAATGCACAGGTGTTAGCTAAGGTGCTTCAGGTGCGCGCGCGGTTGCCGTACGAGCAGCCATCCGAGCCGTTAATAAGCATTCGCCGGTCCTTCTATTTTCCTAGCTTTCACCACAGGTGTTCCCTCGTTTTTCATCTTCACCTTAGCATTTCACCTCTGTCCGTTCAACATTCGCTGTATGCCAAATCACCTGACAGGCAACACCTTTTGCTCTCTCCAACTTATTCTGCTCTGTGTTTCCGAAAGTTGCTTACACGTTGGTCACGTCTGCGTTCACTCGTCTCCGGACTCAGCATTGTTGGTTGTATTCTTCACTTGAGTTGATCTTACGTCGAAGACTCAGGACATTTCAGTTGCCGAAGTTGTATTCTACGTACATACTGAAAGCATTCAATCAGAATGGCCCCAACCGCCTAAGGATTCATGCCCTTTGTTGTTTCAGTGCACAATTCTACTGATTACTGTTCGGGGGAAATTAAAGACGCACTTTACCGTCATATCCCACCCCGAAATCGAATGACTGGAAATACGGTAACGAAAATCACAGTTGCAAGAACCACTTAAACTTGTCGTTTAACGTAATCCCCACAATGTCTTGAAAGTGGCTTCTTAATCGCTGTCTTGCGGTGGTCAGTTTATCCAGGGAGTATCAGCAATATATCGATACTCCGTACTGTATCTTAGCTATGCTATCTTGGTGAGGGCTAAGCCCATCCGAGTACCTGGACCTGAATCCAGAACGCCCAGATTATTATACACCCTCTCGGTTTATCGATCTGTCTAACTTGCATCGTATATTCAAGCAATTTTCTTTTTTCATTTCCCTTACACTGAACGGCTTACTGGCATCGAATCTCATTATCAGCAGCTGCTTAAATTGCACATCGTTCCACTAGTGCGCTAGCCAGCCTGAGCTATCTCACATGCATTCCAACCCTACTGTGATGCACACCCGCACTATGCTGACTACTGATTCTTGCGAGCTGTCTAATTGTGAGGTCATTTACAAACGAATTCACGATACTGCCTGCCAAACATCGCCATCTTTCGTTCTGAAACGTCCCTTATCACCTGCGTAATGAGTAAAGAGGCAGGTGCCGATTAGAACATCCTCCGGTGGCCCATGAGGATAACGCCGTAGGCTGCGTGTCAGCATAGTTTTCTGCATCCATATTTTGTACTCTTTTTCGAAACTTTTATATGGCATGAAAGGCGATCCATTAAGTAACCACTTCCAATGTCCACATTTCACTAGAAACCACGCGATGGCTCGACCCCTTGACCCTTACGAACGAGGAACTCGAGGTGGTTGACTAATCCACTTATCTTGGCAGCTGCATCAGCAACGATGGACGCATAGAAACTGACCTCAGCTCATCCATTGTAAATGCCAGAGCTGCCTTCTCGAACATGCGGCATCTTTGACGACAGAAGGGAGTTTCCCTCCGTCTGAAAGACCGTGTATACAAGGCCACAATAAGGGTCGCCTTGCTCTATAGTAGTGAAACTTGACCCCATCGGTCTCAACTGAGACCCCTTCAAGTCTGAACATCGTTTTCTGCGAAGCATTGCTGGTATCGGATGGCACCAGCGTGTCCGCAACAGTGATGTGCGTTGGCGAGTACTAGGTAGTGATAATCATGCTAGCTCCCTAGAGCAACAGATAGCCCTGAATAAGTTGCGTTGGCTCAGGCACGTGCTATGTATGGCTGATCACCGTTTACCTAGGACGGCCTTGTTTAGTCTGCAAGGTGTAGGGTGGCACAAGACTCGAAGTGGACAGAAGTTGACTTGGCAGTGGGAAATGAAGGCGTTGACGACCAAACTGGGTGTCGTTGGTCCGTCTCGCCTTCCGGGCTAGAGTCCACTTGACTCACCCTTTGATTGATTCGAAACTTTACATGACATGGCTCGCAGTAGACACCAGTGGCGCGTCTGCTTCCGTCTCCTAATCGGATAGCTTGTTTAAAGTGTGTTTGGTGCTGAGTTATCTGCAGGGTAATGGCTGATTATGACGCGTGGCAGTGAAAGCCGCAAGGAAGCTGTTTTACCGATGCCGCCTTATCTTTGCACGATAACCAGCTGTTTGTGACGGCACGTTATCTACACAAGGTGTAGGCGCCTTGGCCCTGAATGTTTGTTTAGGGCATTAAGGTTTTCAGGTAAGTCCCCCTTCTCTCCCTCTTATTATTCTTTATTTCATAGGTCATTATGGTTGTATGGCAGCAAAACATCAGTTCAGATGGCGGATGTACTGCTGTTGTCGTTGTTTGTTTTGTCGCGTGATTGTTCAGGAGCGCTATTATATGTCTTTGGCCTGTTGGCTTGAGATAGCAAGTTTTTCTCTGTATCAGGTTCTACATCCGCCTTTTATAGTCACAAATCCAAGTAGATTGTCAGTTACCTGACCAAGAACCGATGATCATATGTAAATCATATGGGATCTTCAAATCTTGCTTGTGACAGGCTTCAGATAGTTCCCATTCGGACTTTACAATCACATAGTCGAGTTCGACTTGCTACCCGCTTCTGGGTTAACTTATTGAATCAAAGATCCCATGTGAAGTCTCTTACGAAAACTCCCATTCACTTCAGTACCTTGCACGTCAGTTCTCTACCAAAGCCTGTCTTGGGTGGTCAGCCAGAGAGGACCAGGTAACCAGTATCTTTTCTTCACGGCAAAGTTCCTTTTCTCCGATTAAGCGCAAGTATATTGCAACTAGCTTCGCAACTTATGCTAGCAATGCGCCTGGCTAGTCTTTCAGACCAATGGTCTTGCTTCTCATTGGACCCTTGAATGCCTGCACTCGAGACTAAATCAGCCAACAGACGGCACTAACTTTCACTTTTCATTTCCTCATTTTCTGTGTTTCCTAAACGCACATGATGATAGCAGCTTTGTAACCACTCTTCAATTATCTGGTTCCGGATCTATTAACAACACATGTGCTCTTTGCTTCTCAGACGATACCGAGTCGTGGACTTAGGATATTTCTGCTGTCGGTATTAATCACGCAAGCATCTTGAGGGCAGTTTACCAGACTGGGTGCCGGTGAATGGCCGCATCTGCGCAGTTTAATTGCTAATCTCTGCTTGTACTAATGAGCACTATCCAAACCCAGGGTGTTTCTCTGTCACTTCGGTGCGCGCGACGTATTTTCTGCAGCTCCGCGACTATCAAAGACGTATTCATCGACGAAGAATACGGATTTAGTGAAGCTGGGTGAGAATCTACGGGAATCTATCCTCGGACCGCTTCGCGACACTTGTGATGCACCA